TGTCACATCACAGCTCACAGCAACCTCAAACTCTTGGGCTTAAGCAATTCTCTTGCCTCAGCCTCTCAAGTAGCTGGGACTACAGGTGCCCACCACAACATCTGGCTATTTTTTGGTTGTAGTTGTTATTGTTGTTTGGCAGGCCCCTCTTGCTCTGGTGTATGTGGCCAGCACTCTAGCCACTGAGCTATAGATGCCAAGCCATAAATGTAGTAATTTTTTTACATAGCCATTGGAGAACTTTTTTTTCTATTTCCAACTTCTCAATTTCATTCATCTGATATTTCATACATATTCTGAATTCTGATTCTATTTCTGACATTTCAGAAATTTGTCTGGATGATATTTTCTGCTGTATTGCCCTTGTGATCTCTTGGGGGAGTTTATCTGCTCTGATTTTTCTTGTTGCCAGAATTGTTCTGCTGGTTCCTCCCCATGAGTATTTTTAGATTTTTAAAAAAATATTAATTGTATATATTTTTAGTTGAAATGTTAGGATTTTTCCTGAATAGTTAGTGAGAGATGGTCTAATTGAGGACCCTTGGGAGCATCATACAGGCCTATTTGGCAACTTAAACTGGCAGGGTGAGACTATCCCTTCACTAATGAGCTGGAGCTTGTGCTTTGGCCCTTCCTCCACAGCCTTGCAAAGCTTCCTTTCATGGCCGCAAGAGTCTCTGAGCACCAGCCTTACTTAGATAGTGCAACCTGATTCTGTACTGGTATCAGTCCGTCTTCCACCCAGTTTAACAGAGCCACACAATTTTGTTGGAGTTTCAGCTGTATAAAGATATAAACAGCCATAAACTCAACCCTACCAGTGATAGCTGGAGGAGGAGAATTCACAGAAACCCACAGTTCCTACCCCTCATGGTGCCAACCCCTCCCTTGTGTAGACAAATCCAAATTAGCAGCAAACCTGAAGCCCCAGCCAGTGGCAGCTAGACAATGATAATCTGTGGACAGTACTATCTAAGAGTCACACTTGAACTTATAATAGCAGCATAAGCAACCCCTATACAAACAATATCAGAGAAGCCATGGTCCTTCCCCATTTCAGTCCTGGCTGTGGACTGGATAAAATTCAGCTGTCACTAAGGTGACCAGATTTTAACATTGGTAAAGTGGGACACCATTTGGGGGCAGGGTGGGGCCTGACAACAATGCAAACTTTGATAAGCAGTTCTCAATAATCAGTTCTCAACGATTATTTGTTATTATTAAAGTTTAACATTATAAAATTAATAAAAATAATATAAAACACATATCCTGGTGAAATAACCACATGGCAGCCAAAAACCATATATTCCCTTCCTATTCTCCCATGTTCCCTAGCTTGTTGTACATTCTTTCCAAAAATCAGGGCTTTTTGAAAACACTGCAGGATGCAGGACAAATTGTTATAAAATGGTACATCTGGTCACCTTACTCTGGGGGGTGGGGGGGAGGCTACTTGTTTGTTCCAGACAGTTTGGCTCCTTCTGAGCTAATTGTCCTTGCCTAAAAGCAGGGGAGGGAGCCAGTCTCCTTCTGATACCTTGCCCAGGAGGGGAGTAGGGAGTTTACATTAACCTCTTCATTCCCAAATGGAGTTACATTAACCTCTTTATTCCCAAATGGAGTTACATTAACCTTTTCAGCAGCCCGTATATTCCCTTCCCATTCTCCTGCTGTCCCCTAGCTCATTCAATCTTTCCAAAAATCGGGACTTTTTTAAAATGCCATGGGATGTGGGACAAATTGTTAAAAATTGGGACTGTCTGCCAAAAGCAGGATGTCTGGTCACCTTAGCTGTCACCAATAGGTGAAAAGAAGCCTAGTTCCTGTACTTTCCCAGTACAGTTGCCAGAAGGTAGGCCTGTTTCTTTCCAAGTTGCTAGGAGGGAATCCAGGGGTCATAGGAGGTCACTGGGCAGGGGTTCATAGAAGGCAGAGGAAGGATCCCCTAGCTGGAATGAGAGCCAGGAGAGACCACATCTCATCACACTAAAGTTAGAACTGAGGCATTACTGTGTCTTCTCTCAGCAGGAGGTGGATGGGTTCCATGGCCCACACTATGTGAAGCTATCTCAGAGAATTCCTGGAACACACCAGCCTCTGCAGGGAGCAGTGGGTCAGGCCACCAAAGAGGGGGAAGTGTGGGCTGGGGCTGCAGGTTTACTGCTAATTTGAATTTGTTTGCACAAGGCAGAGTTGGCACCATGAGGGGCAGGAACTGTGAGTCTATCCTGAGTCTATGGGCTCAGGACCACAGAAAGAAAGTTTGTTCACTTTTGTGCCAGGCAGTATGGGGACGCAGAGGTGCAGGAGACCTGGAACTTCTTGGCTTTCTCCTGTAGAGTGAGGTGAGAAGTCCTTTGTTCCCCCTCCCTCAATTATGGAAAAGCCTTCATGGGCCTCCCGGTTGGTTGAGGGGTCTCCTGTCCCCTTCAGTACCAGGTGCTGTTAATATAGTTTCTCTATAACTGATCTCTGTTATCTTTCTTCCTTAATCTCTCCCTCACAACTTGTCTGAGTGGGGATGATGTGCACCATGATTTCCTCCCCTTATGCTTAACTCCCCAATTTTGACTTCTGTGGGTTCACTTCAGTCCAACTTTTCTCCTACTGGATAGGAACCTCTGTTGAAAACTGCCTCTAGTCGGCCATCTTGCCCCTCTGCCTCTGAAATTACATTTTACTGGAAGGATACCATGAGCCTAAGAATGCAGAAACTCTCTGGAAACTTAAGGAAAAGACAAAGAATGGATTCTTCTTAGAGTCTCTGGAAGGATCACAACCTGCTGAGATCTTACCCTTAGACTGTAAAAACTTGCCTTTTAAAAATTTTTTAATATGGAATGTTTCACAACTTGTGTCATCCCTGAGCAAGGGCACTGCTAATCTTGTCTGTATTGTTTCAATTTTAGTATTCATACTGTCAAAGTGAGCACTCTAAGACCCATTTCTGATCTCCAGAAATGAAAGAAAATAAATTTGTTTTGTTGAAATCACTGTTGGTGGTGATTACAGCAGTAATAGGAAATTAATACATGTAGATACCAGAGATGATTTGCTTCCCCACCTCTTTTTCCAAATTTAAGATCATTATTAATTTTTAAAAAATTATATGCCATCTATGTAATAAAAAGAAAATGCAAATGAACCAGTATTACAATACCCTCGCACATGATATTTAGTGTTAGATTCTCACAGTTATACATGGGAAAGGATACTGGCTGGCTCTACTTTCTTCTTTAGTAACATTATACCTTTGTTTCCTTAACTTTTATAATTTTATATTTCCAGTTAATTATAGGAATTCATAAAAATAAAAATGACTCAGGCAAAATACTAGTAATAATTAACTTTTTCTTTTCCATTTATACCATCATTGATTTTGAGCCCTCATCATCGTGAAGGGAAAAGAGCCTCAGATGAGAGTTACAACGCATGGGTTCTACATCTGTCTTCATCCCCCAGTGGTTCTATAAGAGTTAACATATCATGTCCTTAAAAAAAAAAAAGAAACTTTTCTATTTGACATAATTTTATATTCACATTTATGTTGTTAGCCAATGATATCTTATCATTTTACGATAATATTGGCAGCCCATCACTTACTAAGATGTCACCAGTTTTACATGTGCTCATTTGTGGGTATATGTATTTAATTCTGTGTAATTTTTTCATATTTTTAGATTTGTGTGACCACCACCACAGTCAAGATGAGGAAAATTTCTATCACAAAAATCTTTCTTGCTACTCTATTACAAACATTGTCACCTCTAGTCCAGTCTCCAGCCCCATAATCTCCTAGCAATCACTTTATCTTCTCTACGTCTGTACTTTTTCATTTGAAAAATGTTATTAAATAGAATCATGCAGATGATAACCTTTAAAGATTGTCCTTTGTGCTCAGCATAATGCTGAATTTTTATTTTCTGCCAATTGTCTGACTTATTCTTTCTAGAAATTATTTTCATGATACCTTGGAGTTTTCTACAAAGGCAATCATGTTATCTACATACAAAAATTCTTAATTTTTTTGTTACAATATATATATATTTATTTATTTATTTTTCTTACAACATTGCATTGGCTAGAACTTCTAGTGTTGTGAAGGATAGATAAGAGGAGTGAGTGTAAGTAAACATTCTTATCTTGTTCCCAGTCTTACTGGGAGAGAATTCAATCTCTCACCATTAAGTATGATATCAGCTATAGGAGTTTTGCAGATGATATTTATTAAACTCAGGAAGTTCCTAACTATTCCTACTTCATTGAAATTTTTTATATGAATGTGTGTAAGATTTTGTCAAATGTCTCTTTTATATAAATTTATAAGAACATAAAATTATTCCCCCTTCCCTTGTTTGACAGATTATGTTGATTTATTTTCAAAGGTTGCATAATTCTTGCATACATAGAAAAAACCCTTTTAGTCATGTTGTATAATTATTTTGTTTGCTGAATTCAATTAGCTATATAATTTTGAGGATTTTTGTATCTACATTCATGAGACAAACTAGTCTGTGGTGTTTTTATTTTTAACTGTTTGTATCTGGTCTTAGTTTCTGAATAATGCAAGTCTCATAAAACAAGTTAAAAAGTATTCCTTCCTCTTGTAATTTTTGAAAGAGATTGTATGAAATTTGTTCAAATTCTTCTATAAATACTGGCAGAAGTGCTTATGCAAACCATGATCTTGGGTAAGTGTTTTTGTAGGCATTTTCTATCACAAATTCAGTATCTTTAATAGTTGTAGAACTACTCTGGATGTCTATTTCACCTTCTCTGAATTTTAGTAATTTGTGGTTTTTGAAGAAGTCATTCCTTATCTTTGTCATATTTATGAACATAAAGTGTTTGTATTATCCTATTATTATCCTCTATTAGCTACAAAGTCTATGGCAATCTTCTTTATTTAATTACTGTTATAATCTGAGCTTTTAAAAATTTTTATCAATCTTATTTTTTTCAATGTTATTGATTTTCTTAAAAATCAGCTCTTTGTTTCATTGATTTTTTTTTCTCTACTACTTTCAGTCACGTCAAAGATGTTATATAAATAGATGATACAGAGTGAAATTTATTTATTCTCTTATCTTGTTATTACCTTTGTTCTGTTTGATGTAGTTTTATTTTCTCTTCTAGTTGTTTGGGGTGAGAATGTAAAGTATTGAATTGAGCCTTTTTGCATTCTGAAGGGCAAATGTTTCCTGCCACCTATGTTCCTCTCTGCCCTGCCTCCTTGTATCTCACATATCCTGCTGTTCCTTCCAGTCATCTCCATGTATTTTATCATTTCTTTTGAGACTTCCTCTTTGATCTATTTAGAAGTGTGTTGTTTAATTTCCAAGTATTTATATATTTTTTTGGCTTTTATTTTATTGAATTTTACTTTCATTCAATTATCATCAGAGAACATGCCCTGCATGATTTCAATTACTTCAGATTTTTCAAGATTTTTTTTTTATAGGTCAGAATATTCTCACTCTCAGTAAAGATTCCATGAGGACTTGAAAAGCACTAATTTTGCTATTGTTTGATGGAGTATTCTGTATCTGTGAACTTGCTGGCTGATTATTTTTTACAACCGTTCCTTTGGAGCCTCAGTCTCACCATGCACTTAGTGCTGATTTCTTTCTCTACAGAAATGAAAAGAAACTCTTTCTTGTCTTGCAGGATTTTTGTGAAGATCACATAAACTGAGATATGTAAAAGTTATAAGTAAAAGTTTTTGTTATAACGATGTATCAAACATACAGATGATCATTATCATCTCTTTTCGATATATGTTAGGAAATCAAGCCCTTTACATTTGGATGCTCGAAGTTGGATGTTAATAAAGATTTTTGGCCCAATCCAGTTGGTATAGGATTGTAAAATAGTAAATGACACACGCTCAGCTTCATGTCATTCATAGTATAAAAATATGGTTTTCATGACTCATCTACATATCTTTCATGAGTTTCACGTACGAGCAGGACAAAACAGATAAGACTGCATTGTATTTTGAAAGAGCTATGGAGATAAAAGTTCAACTAATACTTTACAATTTCATTTTATAACAAATTAAAACTTTAACAACTTCTCAAAGCATGCTTATTTGGGCAAGCCATAGATAAGCAGTTTACAAATCATATTTTGATTGGGCTTACTGTTTTCATCTCTCCTCTAAGCCACAGTTTTAACTTTTCATTAATTTTATATTCAGAACTATAATCAAAACATTCAAAGACAAAATAGTGGTCTCCCCAAATCGAGCCACTATAATCAAAGACAGATTTAGCTGCTAAATCAAGCTATCTGTGGAGAAATACCAATATTTCATCTTTCTGTTTAATTTCCAACAGCTATGTCGTTTTTTGTTTTGTTTTGTTTTGCCCATGACTAGTAACTTGCACCATATATAACTTTTCACAAACCTTTACAACACCCAAAATTTTTTGTGACCTATTTAACAACACTCAAATATTGCTAAATAATTTACCTATACCTATCCAGTTAGATTGAATAAGCAATTAGCAAATAGTCTTTGAATTAACTTCATCCCTACAAAAAATATCTTATCTACCCTAACACACTCCTTTTAGGCCTAGTAGCAAAAGCAGCAGCTGCAAAAATGCAATGTTATTTAAAAATGTACACATTTTAAACTAATAACCTTTCCAAACAACATAGAATTTTTTAATAGAAATTTCAGTGTTCATGTGTGCTTAATTACTGTCATGCACAAAAGGGTTTTTGATTATTTTCTAGGGATCTGAGCAATATTAAAGTTGGTAGGTCAAATTCTATATTCCTGAAAATATAGACTAGATCCTGGAAGCTCAAACTACGGTAGGGCAAGAAGACTGTAGACTTACACAATGGATTTAAAATAATTATCAATAATTGTAGAAAAAAGATACCTTGGAAATTACATAACAAAAAGACATGTCATTGTATGTGAATATATAGAAAAATCTAAATTTATGAGGAATATCCTAAATTCCTCACATAAAAAGAGAGGCCTCATCAACAATGCCCACCGAGAAAGTTGGCAGAAACTAGCTTAAGAATATCCGTATGTGCTGGGTGTCCTCCAAAATCAGTAGAACTCAGTCCCCAGGAGCTGCTTCATTAAGAAGTGTACATCACAGAGGTGTCCAACTTATAAAAGTCAAAATAAACACACGAGGCAGATTAAATCTATTACTGTTCCTTGAGGCTCCCAGTCTTTCTACTCTATCACAGAAGATTAAATCACTAAAACAGGTTGATGTTGGTAAGAATTGGAATTGTTCTACTTCTGTCTAATTTTCTTACCACAAAAACTAACCAAGAATTATCTTTTTTGTTTTTTTCCTAATGAAATAGCACCACTATTATAATTTAGACAATGTAAATGCCCATTATCCCTTCCAGTAATGATCTCTGAATAGGTCTCTAAGTTAAAATGAGTCTGACACATTCCTCAAATATGATACTTATTGCACCTACAGGTGTTAACGCAGCTGGGCTCTGGGGGCCAGAACTTGGGGGCCATTCAAACTACTGCTTGTCCCCCATAGAAAGAGAGAAAAATCCCCCAACAAATAACAAAGGAGTGGAACCCAAGAGAGAATAGGCATAAATTGAAAAACTCTAATTTTGTTGCTTACAACCTTTAACAATATATCATGTCGGAACATTGTATCAATGGAATCACTCAATGCTAACTCCACTTCTCTAATTTAGACATTTTAAAAATTCTATGTGTATATGTAAATATGAGGCTTGCTTTATTCTAAAGTCGTTTCTGATATGAAATGAAAATTTATATTAATCAATTAACTCACCAGAATATGATGAATTGTAGTTTTATATCTTTATAGTAACTTAAGAAATCTTTAGTAGAAATTACATAAGTGTTTCATTTTTTTAATTGCACTTTTCCTACATTTTATCAAAATCTTTGTTATTTTGG